GATGGGTGGAGTGGGGGAGGGGGGTGGGTGGTGAACACTTATCTTGTTTCAGAAGGAAAAAGAGGCTGCATTCAAAATGTTCTCTACAACATTGCATCTCTAAGTCCTTTAGGCCTAGTGCCCAGATCAGCACATAGCCCATCGGACACAATAAACATTGGCTGGATGAGAGATTTAATAAGGATCAGCTACAAGGCAGCAAAAGTAGAGAATGCAAACTGGTCTGTTGTTCAACATCCTAACATCTACAGTCCCAACAGGAAGAGGGAGGCATCTGGCTGAATGCAGCCCAGCCTCATTTGCAGCCTCCAGATGTGAGCTCAACATGGTTCACTGCATCCCTGAGAGGATAGACTAGGACTGCACCCACCTGGGGGACGGGTGGGTTGTGAAGGGTCCTCACACTTACGAAAAATGGCATGTTTTCCCCAATGTACTAGGATTTTGTTTTCTTAAAAATTATTTTCTCCTGATGTAGACTAGTCTTTAAGTTACAGATACCTTCAGAGGCTTCTCTTGCAACTCCAATGCATGTCTTACTTATAATAAAAATCAACACTAAGTTTCAGGTTTCCAACTATTAACAATAAATAAAAGTATTCCCACCTGAGAGAAATGTTTCCCACAAATGTTACATTCAAAAGGTTTCTCACCTAAAACAAAACAAAACAACAGCTTATAAAATCATTTGTATTATCTGCACAACCATTTTCTGTTTAAAATGTTTAAACTATCCCGTGTCCACCATTCAAAGCAGAGACTACGTTCCTCATCCAGCGTGTATGAAAACGGGAGCCCACACCTCTTCCTCGTCTCTCGTCCTTAGATAGTGGGCAGGGATGACAAACTGAAATTTGTGATTAGTTTTCTCTAAAAAATCAAACTGTGCCCTAGCTGATTTGGTTCAGTGTATAGAGCATCGCCTGCAGACTGAGGGTCCCAGGTTCGATTCTGGCCAAGGGTACATGCCCATGTTGTGGGCTCGATCCCCCATGTGGGGTATGCAGAAGGCAGCCAATCCATGATTCTCTCTCATCACTGATGTTTCTCTCTCTCTCTCTCTCTCTCTCTCTCTCTCCCCCCGCCTCTCCCTTCCTCTCTGAAATCAATAAAAATATGTTTAAAAAAATCATATTGTTCTCCAAATATAAACCTATGTTGAAGTCAAACTTAACTTGTTAGCGTTCAAACCCTGCCTCAGTTTTGGGCACTAGCTTTCTCTTCCGCTGAAAACCAACTGTGAGTTTTTTTGCTGAAGGGCCCAAACCTGCTTACAGCCCCTCAGCCGGACTCCTTTACTCTCCCACCAGCTCCTAACAGAACCGGGGTCTGTGAATGACACACGTGAGGTGTGGGCACTGCACAGACCCAAACCGGGACGGACCTCCTGAAGGTGGGATGGGGAAAAGCACTGCCTCTGCACTTGGCCTTGGCTGACCATGCTCCCAGGGGAAAACAAGAGGACACTATGGGAGCCACGTCTGATTTTAGAAACTAAGCAATTACTCTTTGGTATAGAATAAGCTGCGGAGAAGGGAACTCTGTCACCAAGAAACCACAGCAGCCCTGAACACAGACTAGAAAATGACCATTTTAACAGTACACTTCCAGGTGCCACCTTGAACCTAGGGAACTAACAAATAGGCTGGGCAGACCAAGAACCTTCTGTCTCCCCCCTCACCCCCCCGCAAGGGGTTTCACTCTTTTTAAAAATGACAATACCCCTTCCTTCTACATTGCTGGCTGCCAGCTTTCTGGGCTCCTGCCAGGATACTTTTACTTTGATTTTTTCCTGAAACTGTTTAATGGCTTCTTCAATGGCTTCTTTCTGGAGCAGGCAGAAAGCTTTTGGTGGAATAATTATAATCATACTAAAGGCCTGGTGCACAAAATTCGTGCATGGGTAGGGTCGCTAGGCCTGGCCAGCAATAAGGGCCGATCTGTGGGGCGACCAGCAGGGTGATCAGGGGGTCCCCCGCTGGTACCTGCCTTGGCTGGCCTGGGGCCTGCAGGCTGGGGGCAGTTCCTGCATTGAGTGCCTGCCCCCTGGTGGTCAGTGCGCATCACAGCAACCGGTCATTCTACCAGTCGTTCTGGTCGATTTGCATAATAGGCTTTTATTATATAGGACTAGAGGCCTGGTGCACCAAAATTTGTGCACTCAGGGGGGAGGGGGCGTCCCTCAGCCTGACCTGTGCCCTCTCGCAGTCTGGGACCCCTCAGGGGATGACCACTTGCTGGCTTAGGCCCGCTCCCTGGGGGATTGGGCCTAAAGTGGCAGTCAGACATCCCTCTGGCAGCCCGGCAGCCCTTTGGGGATGTCCACTTGCCAGCAGGGAGCAGGCCTAAACTGCAGTAGGACATTCTTAGCACTGCTGAGGAGGCGGGAGAGGCTCCCACCACCACTGCTGTACTGTCAGCCATCAGCCTGGCTTGTGGCTGAGCAGAGCTCCCCATGTGGGAGCACACTGACCACCAGGGGGCATCTCCTGCATTGAGCATCGGCCCCCTGGTGGTTAGTGTGACCAGTCATTCTTTTTTTCTTTCTTTTTTTCTCTTTATTCTGGGATTTATTTACCTTCTATGGCTGTCACTGGAACTGAGAGCCGGCTTTAGCTCTGAAGCTCGGCTCCAGCTCTGAGACCTCGGCTGCTGAAAGCAGGTATCTGGGTTTGTTTGGCTTCTATAATTGAAACACTGTTGCAGCTCCAGCTCTGAGGCCCGGTTGGCTGAAAGCAGGTTTCTGGGGTTTGTTTAGCTTCTATAATTGCAACATTGTTTCTTAGAGTACAGCTCAGAGGCCGGCAGCAGCAGGCAGGGAACCTTGGCTTCCTCCATCACTGGAGCAAGCAAGTCTCCTGTTCGCTTCAGCTGCCTGGCTGCTGGCCGCCATCTTGGTTGGCAGTTAATTTGCATATCGCCCTGATTAGCCAATGGGAAGCGTGTCGGAGGTATGGTTAATTACCATGTTTGTCTATTATTAGATAGGACCACTTCAGTATTTTGGGACAACATTTATGTCGGAAATTATGGGGATAATAGATAATGTTAAGTTAAAGCCCCATTATGTGATCCAAAAATTTGAAAAGAAGAGGCCACTGGTTATTAAGGCTCCCAAGTGACCAGAATTGATAACCTTACTCCAGTGGTTCTCAAATGCTTTGCTCTCAGGATCCCTTAACACTCTTAACTGAGAAGCTGAAGTGTTTGCTTTTGTGGGCTACACCCATCAGTACAGTCCATACTAGAAATGAAGACAGAGTGATTTTTAACACATGACTAGACAGCTCACTGGCCACCCGGGTGATGACAGCCTGTAGCTGACTCCACTGCACACTTGTGGGAGAAGACAGACAAGGCAAGTAACATCCTACATGGTGACAGAAACAGTCCGGCCTCACAGACCCTGGGAGAACAACTCAGATCGTAAGTCGAGGACCACTGCTTTCTCAATAGAGTATGTCCAAGTGAGCATCCCACCGTAATGGATGACATTATTGTTCAAAAGAACAAACATTTAATTTTTAAAGCTAAACAGATACGTTTCTCAAAAATTATACTGATCATGAGGCTCTAGGAAATTCAAGCAAATGGAATGACCTAAATTAAGGTGTTTTTTTTCAGGGCAAAACTGAATCAGTGATACTGCCTTCATATGGAGAATACTTCTGAACTACTAGTAACAATAAAGGTAATACTTTATATATTCAAATACATTACAATTTATAAAGGGCTTCCATAAATATTAAGTAAGTCTCTCTCCACAATGCACTGAGGTGGTAAACACCTAGACACACCAGGAGTCAGTGATAGCAGAACGTCACATCAATAACTGTAATTACACAAACGTCTTAAAAGCAGTTACTCTGGAAGCATCTGTAGCTCATCATTTCCCATACCTATAAGGTAACTGCCATTCACCTGCCGTGTGTAGTAGAGTCATCCTGCTTAAGTGCAGGAAGTAACACACACGTACTATATAAGGTAATGTACATGTGCCGTATAACACTTTTAAAAAAGCTTTTGAAAAAGTAAATTTTTTGGAAAGGGGAGGAGGTATGAATTAAGGAAATAAAACTTTGAAAATTCAATGTCCAAAATGGAAGAACTTTCATTTGAAAATATCAAATGGTTAAAGCTGATCCTTATTAAAAAGTTTACTTCCCACCTTCCGAATCACAATTTTTAAAATCTGATATTCACATTACTTTCCAGAGAACTTTCAGAATTACTCAAACTAAATTATTTTATTCTGATTAACCCACATTACGCTTTTAAAGAATAAACTTAATCTAATTCTAAAGAGACAACTAAATATAGCTTACTGTTTTAGAACCTGAAAATTTCAGTCCATCAAAATAATTTACTATACTTCTTTAGAGATGGAAAGTTTGTCATAAAAACCTAATTAAAATAAAATGAAGTGAGACATCTTTTAAAATTGGCTCTATGAAAGTATCTATAGATTACGCTTTAAGAGGCATCTCCAAAACTATGAATTAAAAAGTAGCTAACGCTCCTTGATGATTTTTGTGTGCAAATGTCAACGCCACAGCAAAACTTCTTACAGAGAGGAGCAGGCACCGTGTGCGTCTGCGCTCTTGCCTGTCCGGGCCCGCGGGCACTGGGTCAGTGTGCGTGTACCTGTATGGGACCGTTTGTGAAGCTCCAGGTTGCTTGGGTGTTTGAAAGGCTTCCCACACAGGTCACACGCGTACTGCCATTGGGACTGCGGTGTCTGGAACTGGTCCTCTGGAGCTTCCAGGTCTTCGGGGCTCTCCGTTTTGATAATGCAGTGGAAGCTGTCAGAGCTGCCGGGTTCTTCACATTCCTTCTCCCCAGAGCGCTGACTGCTGGCTTTCTCTGTGGCGTTGTCACTAGCAGGGCCAATCCTCTGGGTTAGACCCTCATCCGACGTGGCTTCAGCAGTTTGCTCTGCAGACTTCTGTGACTTCAGGAAATTGAGCTTCTTCAGGTGAACGGCCTTCTTGAGCCTCATCTGTTTGGTGGGTGGCTGGCACGTGCTGTCTGACTCAGGGTCTGGGGCAGGTTCGCTCAGAGGCTGGGCCAGGAAGTTGGGAGGCAGGTGCTCCGCGGACTGCAGGGCGCATTCGGAATGACTGACAGCACAGGGCTGGTTTTCCACGGCAGCCGGGCCTGTGGATGGGCTGACAGTGAAAGGCTGCTCGATTATTCTCTCGTGACTGGGACAAGCGGCTTGCTTATAGTACTGCTTACTGTACAAGTTTCTCAGTTTGTAGTAGTAATTTGGCTGTTTGAGTGGCAGTTCTGTGCAGCTGCCGTCTAAAGTGTCAGGGCCTAGTTTCGACGCTTCGCCTGCAGGGTGATGAAGCTGAACTGACGGTGGAGCCTGAGAGTGCGGCTCGTCCAAGGCCTTACCGTGCTGCACGTCCGCCGAACACGCCGGCAGTACGTGAGGAGAGTAGCTTTCACTGAGAGCACAGCTGGTGTCCGGAGCCGGAGCGCCCGGCAGGGAGAACGCGCTACCCCCAGGCATGCTGGGTGGCTGCTCCATAGGGGTTGATTTTAAGAACGTGTGACACAGACTCAGAACGTTCTGCACCTGCAGACACTGTGCTGTGTCCAGCATCACCTGCACATTGTCCTGGGTCAGGTCCAGGTGTGACGTGTACATGAAGTCCAGGATCTGCCCAATGCCGCTGACATTCTTAATATCCAAGTGAAAAACATCGCTCTTCTGGGCGGGAGAATTCTGGAAGAGGCTCCTGACAAAACAAAGATGCCTGTTTCAGTGTTAACAATTCATACACACTCTTAACTTTCTCTTACAAATAATACTCATACTAATATTCAAAACAGCAATACTTCTATAAATGCCAGAATTTTATAATTAAGTGAGCTTTAGCCCTTTTAAAAAATCTGGCTGGCAAGTCATCCAATAAAGCAATTCAGATAAATGAGTGTGATGAATATCCAAACTTCCAAGTAGATATCCAAGGAAGATTATGCAGTATACCCATGGCTCTTTTATCAAATAATCCATACGCATTATTAATAGTATATAGAGTACAGAAAACTAAAGGATACACATTTTTCACTACTTCCTGTTTGTAGTCTGACAAATCATGTATTTTATTTTAGGCCATAAAACCATATAAAAATATTTCCATATCTAAGTGCCTTAAAAAGTCTAAAAATAAAAATAGCTATAATAAACCAACCCTCAGTATACATTCATTTTGTTTATTAAATACACTTTTATTGATTTCAGAGAGGGAGAGGGAGGTAAACACATCAATGATGAGAAAGAATCATTGATCAGGTGCCTCTTGCATGCCCCCTACTGGGGATCCAGCCTGTGACATGGACATGTGCCCTGACCAGGAATCGAACGATGACCTCCTGGTTCATAGGTCAATGCTCAACCATTGAACCACACTAGCTGGGCTACACTCATTTTTTTAATCTTAATTTTTAATTGTGTAAAAATTACATAATTCTAAACATTTAATTATGGTTCAAGTGGTAAATTCAATGGCATAAAGTACATTCACAATGTTGTGCAACCATCACCTTTATGCATTCATTCTTGGAACCTTTGCATCATCCCAAAGAGAAACTCTGTTCCCGTTAGACACTAACTCCCACTCTTCCTGCCCCGCCCCTGGCACCACCATTCTGCTTTCTGTCTCTCTGAATGTGACTGCTCTAGGACCCTGATACACTCTCATTTTATACTCAGTCATTCCTCTAGCTGTTTAGCAACCCAATGGTCCACACATAAGCAGTGAGAAAAGCCCTAGGAGTGAATGCGGCAAGAAAGGGCACACTTCCATAAAGCCCACACACTTTATTCTGGGCACAAATCAAATTCACCAGGGAAGGAATCTGTATGGTGAAGAATATCAAGCTAAGTTAGGTAAGTTGTCTTGCAACGTTGTTGGAGACATTTTATCAGAAGCAGTCACCTGCTTCCCCAAACAGCCCAGGTTGTGGGTTTGATCCCCAGCCGGGGTGCACACGGGAGGCAACCGATTGATGTTTCTCTCTCTCTCTTCCTCTTTCTAAAATCAGTAAGAACATACTCTCCGTACAGTGAGAAGAACAGAGACTGAAATCGCACCTGAAGTACTGGCTGAAGGCTGCGAGGACATTCTTGTGCGCTTTGAAGCAGACGCCGTTCACCACCAGCATGCAGTCACAGAGCAGGCCCTGGATGCGCTGCTCGTGCAGCTGCTGGAGGAGGTGGCAGCTGTGCGTGGCCACCGGGTCCATGCTCAGGCACTCAGGAGACCTGCACAGAGGACGCAGATAAAACATGAGTCTCGATGACAAGACTGGGAACTGAACGGCACCAAGTCCACGGATTGATCTGTGGTTCACTGTCATGAGTCCCTGTCACAGCAGCTTAAAAAACAAACATGCAAACAAAAAAGTCGTTTCTTAAGCATCTTAACCAGTGCTGTTCAATGGAACTACCTGTGAAGATAAAAATGTCCCTAGAACGCTTCTGCTCCTCTTACTATGGCCCTAATCTGCCATACTTCCTCCCCTGCAAGCCTCCGAAGGCTACTATCCCTTAACACTCAGCCCTGAGCCATCTTCACTTTTCCTTGATAATGTATCTATCTCTGGCCTCCATCTGTTCTAAGCAGACAAGTCCTAAATTTGAAACTTTAACTTCAACCACCAGTTGCAGATGTCCAACTTTCTGCTAACCATCTGTTACTGTATGACCCCACAATAAAAAATCTCCAAAACTTACCCCCATTATCTCGCCTTGCTCAGCACCTTGTTCTGACTCCCGTTTCTTCATGGAAAGCTCAGTTTCTGGTATGTGGATTTGGGGTGCTGGCATGATCTCCTGGTTTGAGATCAGGGTGGCATTCAGAGGACACTGGGATGAGAGGCGAGGTTATCTACAAGGAGCCACACTGCAGCACTGAGCGTGGATGTTACCCAAGAGGGGACACAGGAAGGGGAGCCTCTGTCAGGCGGCGGGGCACTGTCCCTAGTGCTGAATGCTCAGAGGTACAGAGCAGCCAAAAGACTGAGTCATCAGTCACCCAACCCATCCCCCTGGCTGCCAGGGAAGAAAAGGCTTCCTGGTTTACTATTAGCATCATTTACAGACTGCTCACTACAGGCCCAGCACTGTGCTAAGCATATTATATATGTTAACGCAAATAAATAATGCTGTAAGAACCATTATCGCCATTTTACAAGTCAGGAAATTAAGAAATGGGAGTTTAAGTAACATGCCCGTGATCATAAAAGTTAAGTCCCAACGCCAGCATTTAAACCCGCCATCAGTGCTCATGGGCTATGCTATCGCCCGTGAGAAAAAGGATGTTAGAAAACACAGCACAAAACCTGCCTGCAGACTCCAATGCTGAAATGCAGCAAATGTTCGGAATGGACACTGGACATTTTCTAGCTCTACAGAGTGACAAGGGGAACAATTCTTTGGAATGACCCTCAGAGTTATGATGATCTGCAAAGTCACGAACTATTCCATAATTTACTTTGACAATAAAAATCATGATCAATCTGCCCTGGCCAGTTTGGCTCAGTGGATAGAGTGTCAGCCTGCAGACTGAAAGGTCCTGGTTTCGATTCCAGTCAAGGGCACATGCCCGGGTTGCGGGCTTGATCCCCAGTAGGGGACATGCAGGAGGCAGCCAATCAATAATTCTCTCTCATCATTGATGTTTCTCTCTCTCTACCTCTCCCTTCCTCTCTGAAATCAATAAAAATATTTTTTAAAAATCATAATCAATCTAATAGTTTCACCAAGTTAATCCTGTAAGTCCCTTATAAAAACCCTCTAGAAAAAGAATTGGTAATTTATATTTCTTACTAGAGGCTCGGTGCACGAAATTCATGGGGGGGGGGGGTGGTCCCTTCAGCCCGGCCTGCACCCTCTCCAATCCGGGACACCTCAGGGGGTGTCCTACTGCCTCTCGCAATCTGGGACAGCTGGCCCCTAACCGCTCGCCTGCCTGCCTGACTGATCGCCCCTAACTGCTCCCCTATAGGCCTGATCACCCCTAACCGCCTCTGCCTCGCCCCACACCCAGGACCCAGGATTCCCTCCTCTGGCCGGGCGCAGGCACCCAGGACCCAGGCCAGCTTTGCCCGGGCCAACCACAGCCGCAGGGGACCGTGGGTGGGCAGCTTCGCCTGGGCTACAGTCACAGGAGCCCGGGACTGTGGGGTGGGTGCCTTGTCCCTCTCCTGTGCTGCAGCTGCAGGTGCTGGTGCCCAGGACTGTGGGGTGTGCAGCTTGTCCCTCTGCCGGGCCGCAGGCACTGGCGCAGTCACTGGCACCTGGGACCACAGGGCGGGCGGCTTGTCTCTCTCCCGGGCCTCAGCCTGGCTGGTCCCCATTCCTCTCTCCCCAGTGTTGAGTGTGTGAGGACATGAGGGTGTGATGACCGTTTGCATATTAGCTCTTTATTTATTTTTTAAATATATTTTATTGATTTTTTACAGAGAGGAAGGGAGAGAGATAGAGAGTTAGAAACTTCGATGAGAGAGAAACATCGACCAGCTGCCTCCTGCACATCTTCCACTGGGGATGTGCCCGCAACCCAGGTACATGCCCTTAACCGGAATCGAACCTGGGACCTTTCAGTCCGCAGGCCGACGCTCTATCCACTGAGCCAAACCGGTTTCGGCATATTAACTCTTTATTATATGGGATGTGTCCTATGTGTAACAACTACCAAGTAACAATGTATATACCTAATAAAAATAACAACAAATATGTATAAAATGTTTCCTATATGCGACCAGGCACTATGCTAAGCCCCTGACAAGTCACCGCATTTAATGATCAGCGTCCCCGGTGAGAGAGGCTGAACTGTCGCCCTCGCTCTCTAGAGGGGGACAGCGAGCACCTGCAGGTGACAGGGCGCAGGTTTTCCCTCTCCTCCCCGGAATCTGGGCAGCCCCGGGCCCCTCGCCCGCAGCAGCAGCAGCAGCAGCGTGTTGGAGACGGGGCCTATAAAGAGGCGATTAAGTTAAAACCCTAAACCAGTCCGCCTGACGCCCCCCAAGGAGGAGGAAATGTGGACACAGAGCCCCCAGGGTGCTCCTGCCCAGGAAAGACCCGGGGAGGACGGCACAGGACGGGGGGGGCCACAGGCCAGGAAGAGCAGCCTCGGAAGAGACCACGGCGACCCCTGGGCCTTGGCCTTCTCACCCCCGGAGCCTCCGGTGTTTGTGGGGGCAGCTCTAGCAGGGAGCACGCCTTCTCTTCCAGGCCGACACTTCGCTGCGGGCGAAACCCTCCTGCTCGCCACACTCGCCCCCTCCGCTCACACCCACCACCC